GTGTCAAACCTCCGCTGAGATGCTCTAGATGTCTAGTGCATGTGGCCCTGTGAAGGCCACCAGTGATCTTAGCAGGACTGGCTCCTTTTCATGCTTGGGACACTGTCACACAAGTGAAGAATGAAATACAGATAAAGTTAAGGTACAGGTTATGGCCTATCTGCTTGAGAATATCTGTGTGGATCGTTCTCAGGAATAAGCAATTATTTCTCAACGTAGGAAAGGAGCAACAGCTTAAGAAAAAGAGAGATGCAGACTGTATGTTCTATTTTCTAGGAAGCTTGCAAATGTTTATATACCGGCAGGAATGATCCATTAGTGATGGGGAAACAGTGATGCAGAAGACAAGCGAAAGAAAGTTCTTGAGAACAGACCACGGGAACGGTTACATAAGTGAGAGGATTTGTTTGTGAAAAGAATAAGAAATAAGTCTTCCACAGGACTGAGGGGCCATCACAACTTTGTATTCCCAGAGAATACATTGGAAACTCGTGAAATCTTTGCTGAGTAAATCTAGTAGGTATCCAACCCAAACCAAGGAAACTGTGAACCAAAGACGCAGAAAGCATGGAGGGGTGCAGAGTGGGCAAGAAAAATTGGGGAGCACTGTGACTTACTCATGACCCTTGGTTAGCTGTTGCTTGCTCTGTAGTGTGATCTTTATGATCCTAATCAGACACCTTTTTTTTTTTTTTACTCAAACTGTAGCTTTTAATATGATAGCATAGCCTACATGGCATATAGTTAATTTGGCTTTAAATTTATTTAATATCCATTGTGTTCCCTTAATAAGGTAAGGCTCAAATGGAAAAAAATGTTTTCGACCTTACTAATTCATTTTCAGTTGTATGAAAGGCATCTAATTCATTTACCTAGGCCTGCAATTTTCCTTAGTTTCCAGAATTACTTTTAGCACTGATAAAAATTACTGATTGTATTAAAACAAAAGGCAGATCTCCAGACCACACATCTACTTCACCTTAAAGGCAAATGTGCTAGTGGACAACTGGTAGGATCCAGGTCATGGTTATATAGCCAAATGCTTACAAGGCTGCAAAATTATAAATTAACCAAAAAATATTGTCTATTTTTATGAGGTTTGTATACACTCATTTCTATTATATGTGGTGGGGGGTCAAGAGGAATAAAAGACAGATTGTTTGTTATTAAACATGTACAAAATACATTTTGAACATATAGAAATCACAAGATGCTTTATGAAAGCCTGTTACTTAGTACTTAAGCTCCAGAATCTCAGACACCCAGAAGTATTAAAAACTCCAATTCTGTACAGAATAGACATCAAATAAGATGCTTTTGAAAACCAAGTATGTTTTGGAGTAGGGTGATGGTTTGCCTGATGGCAATGAATTCTGCAACTTTGCCTCTGACTTTGGAATAAACTGAATGATAAATTTTAAAGTTCTCATGTATATTCCTAGTTCCAATGCGGTGCAAACAGAAATAGTGTTTATACACACCCTAATGGAGTGTATGAATAATGAACGATGAGGCTATATTTTATCACACAGTAATAAAAGTTGAAAATAATGCACTCAGAGGAATTTTGATGAGTTAATAACAAACATATAAATTTACCCTCACATATTCACGGGATGAGAAGTGATCTCATTCATTCTAGTGTTATTGTGAAATTTTCATTCATGTCTTGTTAGAAAGTCATCTTTAGTTGACCTCATTTCTCCTTCTTATGTTCTGAAGCTATTTCAATATTCTAACGGTCCAAGTGAACTTTCTTTGGACTTCAAAAAATATTTGATCACATTTCTAGTTTAAAAGGCTTTTCTGGACCAGTGAGACGGTTTGGTGAATAAAGCATTTGTCATTCAAGGATGAGAACTGAAATTCAAATCCACAAGAGGCAGAGACAGGGGACCACTGGGGCAAGCTGGCTAGCTGAGCTAACTGGAATAAGGTGGAGAGAGATTTAAAAGAAGGTCCAGATCAACTTCAGGGCTTCTACTTGCATAGGCACAAACACACACACGCACCTACAAAGACATGTGTGCACATACACTACACGTACAAAGAAAGAAAATTAGAAATAAAGAAAGAAAAGCTAAGAAAGGGAGGAAGGGAGGGAAGAAGGGAGGCAGGCAGGCAAGGAAGGAGGGATGAAGAAATGGAGGGATGATTTTTGGTTAAGGAATAGAAGTCTTAATTTAAGCACAAAACAAAGGGGGCTCTGGATGAGTGTAATTAATACTGCAAAGCTAATGATGAGAAACAGCTAACCAGTTGAAAAGTAACTAAGAAAATAGCCTTCTAGAGTCGGTAATATCCATAAAAGCAAAGAAACTCATATTATCCTACCCATTACAGCATGGCCATAAGACTTGTTTCTCTGCTACCTGCCCCACTCCCACAGTGTCCCGTGCACCCACTCCCACAGTGCCCCATGCTCCCACTCCCATAGTGCCCCTGTGCACCCACTCCCACAGTGTCCCGTGCACCCACTCCCACAGTGCTCCGTGCACCCACACCCACAGTGTCCTGTGCAACCACTCCCACAGTGCCTCTGTGCACCCACTCCCACAGTGTCCTGAGCACCCACTCCCACAGTGCCCCGTGCACCCACTCCCACAGTGCCCCATGCAACCACTCCCACAGTGCCCCTGTGCACCCACTCCCACAGTGTCCTGTGCACCCACTCCCACAGTGTCCCGTGCACCCTCTTCAGTGTCCTGTGCACCCACTCCCACAGTGTCCCGTGCACACATTCCCACAGTGCCCCGTGCACCCACCACACAGTGCCCCATGCACCCACACCCACAATGCCCTGTGCACCCACTTCACAGTGTCCCTGTTTCCTCAGTTTTTCCTATTTCCTTCCCCTTGGGCAGGCTCTTTCATAAGAAACCCCTTAACCATTCATGGACATAGGGCTTTTTTTTTTTTTTTGTAGCTCACAAGTCTTTGGTTCTGGCAAATCATTCTGAATCTGCATATGGGCAAACCATTGTTTCAAGGAATGCACATGATCATATCAAGCCTACATGCTGGAAACACAGAGTTGGAGAAATGTCTCAGTGGTTAAAAGCACCTGCTGCTCTTGCAGAGGACCCGAGTTCCATTCCCAGCATCCCACCAGGTGCAGGCTCACAACCTGTGAGTAGGCACAGTAGATACAACATCCTGGATAGGAAATGCTAAGGAAAAACATACAAGAAGGACAGCGACAGACAAGACAATATTTTAAAATAATCTAGTTATGCAGACCTCTGCAAAAATAGTGTTTTAGTGGAAACCTGAATTGAGTGAGACCCACTCCGCTGCGACCCACAGTATCTTAGGGTAAGTTTCTCATGGTGAGGGCACCCATGCAAGAGCCTGTAGCCAGAAGGGAAGGGAGGAGTGGAAGAAGGGGTTGAGGAATGGTTCCTCAGTTAACACCCTTGCTATGCAATCAGGAGAACCCGAGTTCAGATCCCTAGAATCTGTGTAAATTCGGGGTGGCTGTGGCAGCCTACTTAGAACCCAAGTTTTGGGAGGCAGATCCCTAGAATAAATTTGCCAACTAGGCTAACCTTCTCAGGTTGCTCTCCGTTTGACTAATATACTGCCTCTCGGAAAGTATGGTGGAAGATTCATTGGGGAAGATTTATAACAGCAGCCTCTGACCTCCCTCCACATACATACACACAAACATGTACTCAACACATGTGTACCTATACATGTACAAACACATACACACATATGTACACAGACACATGCTCTCTCGTTCCACACAAATTTACTCATGAAAAGAAAGAAGATACTGGAAATACGGGGAAATGGCAGAGATAGAGGCAGGAGCTTCTAAGGCAGGGCTCAAATGGGGCCATGTCAGATTCTAATTTTATTCTGGATAAGTTGAGTTGCCCCCAGAGAGTTTTAAGATAGTACTGACATGATCTAATTTGTAATTTTAAAAAAAACAGTCTCTCTGGCTTTGTGCAGAGGCCAAAGGAAGCTGGAAGCAGAGAAACCACCTAGAAGCCTGCCGCTATGATCCATGTGCTGAACCTGGGGTAGTGGTGGTTCAGGTTGCTGGAGGTGATTTTGATGTGAGAGTTTCTCAGAGGCAGGACAGACATTGGCAATTAATAGCAGGACTTAAGAAAAAGAAAGAATGATGCTGTGTTTTTGTTTTATTTGGTTTTTTTTTTTACTTGAATACTGGAAGACTCAAGGTGCCAGTTAGAGTGAAGAAGGGAAAAGAGGAAGGAGCCAATTCTGTGTGAAAGTGGGGAGCACAGGAGTCAGAAGAGTAAGGCTGACACCTGAATGGGTGTGCTGGTACCCCATTGGACAGGCAAGCCTTGAGCTCAAAGGGAGGAGTTCCGGTTAGTTTGAGATGGTGGTTTGGAGAAGGGACTAACGACTGAGCACTGTATAAAATCTGGGGAGATGAAGAGGGGAGATAAAAGAAGATTGAAAAGGACTGTTGAGAGAGAAGCAATGCAAAGAGAGTGTAAGGTCTTGGAGCCTAGGAAAGACCATCAGGAGAAGGGAGGAGTCAGTCATCTGTGAGGTGGCATGTGGATGCTGATGCTGATGCGGATTCTGAGGCTGGTGCTGATGCTGGTGCTGGTGCTGGTGCTAATGTCATTGCCAATGCTGATGCTGGGTCAACAGGATGAGAACGGTGGAGGTGGCAACTCATATTTGATTTCCTGGTAGCCAGTGCCCACAACTGGTACTTAGAAACTGCTCCAAATCAGAGTCCTTGTTTGAGACTCACCAGTTCCTCACTTGCAGGGACATGGTGAAAAGTAAAACAAAGACAACAAAACAAAACAACAAAACAAAAAACCTCATGATAAACTCCTGTGTCTCTCCCCTTAGTTTGTACCTGTTACCTTCCATGAGGAGTAGTAGCCTGCTGTGTTCTGCAGATGGTAATCATGCTAATCAATCAGAGAGAGAGAGAGAGAGCGCCTAAATACTGATGACATCCAACAGATTGTCTCACCTCACTCAATCCCAAAGGCACAAAGATTCAAGTAACTGAGTGATCTTAATATCAGCTTTTATAACGTCATGTTCCAGACTCAGAAAAGGGTTTCTGGAAGTCTGTAGTCATTGCCCTGAGCCTGCAGTTACTTGGTATTCCAGGAACAGCAGCTGCTGAGAAGCAGGTCACCCCATGAGACTATCTCCCAGGCAGGTGCAATCATATCAATAAAACTGCAGTGGCCCACAGGCTAGCTCACAGAGCCGGAACTGAGAATATGAACAGCCGGGCCACTAATCAAGGCTGCTTACTATTATGAGACCCCACCCCCACTGTCCCAATTCTTCTGCTTGCACCTAAATCTTACGTCAGTCCTCACAGGTAGACTGGGATGCCTAATTTGGGTCTTCACCAAGTGGCCATTTGGATTCCAATCCTTTCCTGCTGTTTTCTTATCACTTTTTCTGGATTTTCTGGCAAATGGCTGGGCCTGGGATGATGAGACATGATTAGAGCCCCCAGAATCAGCCCTCCGGCTTAGGACTCTAGCAGAGAAAAAGAAATGGAAAATAGTAAGTTATAGACAGGCAGACAGGAGAAGGAATTAGAAACAATAAATGCTGCAACGGTTTCCCTTATAAAGGGTAACAGGCGGAAAAGTAGCTGGCTGAGAAAGCCTCTTGATTTGCGTAGCTTTAGATGGCTCTTTGCTTGTTTTTTTTGTGTTTTTTTTTAACTCAACACTGTAGCCCACACTGTGGCCCAGGCTCTTCCTGCCTCTGCCCCCCACATGCTGAGGTGATGTATGTATGCCACTAAGCCCCAATGACTTTATTTTAGTATGAAAACTGTCTCAGGACTTTTGAGGTATACCAGAAAGATCTAGTAGACAGATGCCAATCAATAACAGAAGAGAGAGTTAGCCAACAATTGTCCCTTATTGACATACCAAAATTTATTTATACTTTGGCTACTGATGTTCTTTAAAGTTTCCTCTGGTTGTTTAAAAATAAAATTTAACCGATAAAATCTTATTTTATTCACTGACCGCATTTCACTAAGATACATTTTTCTCAGGTGGAGAATTATTCGGTCAAAAATCATGAACATTTTAAGACTATTAGGGGTGCTCTGGTCTCTTAAAAATTGATTTACCTTACTAGCAGTAATGTATAAATAATTAAGCTTTATTGAAGTCTTACTCGAGGTATGACATAAATCTTTATGTCATTGAGGGATTCTCAAAGTGTTTAGGTACTCGTACCCTAGGAGAATGATCTTAGCACTTACAAAGAAAATGTTTTCCTCTCCTTTGTTCTATCTTAATTGTTTTCAAACTAGATAGTTCGCTAATAGAAATAATTATAATAATCATTTATTTTGAATCACGTATTAAACACAAATGGTATATATGGTAGGGAAAAAATAGTTTTTTAATCAGATCAGCCTATATTTGAGTCTCCAACTCATTATTTGGGCATGTAATCCGTCACTTTAATTTCCTCTTCAATACATATGTGAATATTAATCCCCATTTCCTAAGTAATAAAGAGAGTTAAAATCAGATCTATGTGAGACCCCTGTTACCCAGTTAGAAAATTATTCATGAACATGGTGTCACTTTGAAAAAAGTGTTTTTTAAAAGATCTTATAAATATACTATTTTCTTTTAAAGGAAAAAAAGGAAACATTTTTCTCATGCAACAGATCTTGTCCACAGTTAATAAAATTCTCACTTTACAGTTTTGTTAACTACCATGGGGGACACAAATCCATGAATTTCTAGGCTAGTAAACTGTTGAAACGGCGAGCACCTGGGGGGTCTCCCGGGACCGCACCGGCTGTGGCTGTAGACCAGGGCTCAGCAGTGTCTCTAGAAATAGCAGCCAGTGAGCGCCAGGTGACTAAAGGAGGCTTCAGCTCTGCTCCCAGGCTTTGTGATTAGGCCAGCTTGCAATGCTGAGGGAATAACAAGAGAAATACAAATGGAAGTCGGATCCATCACAACATTCGGTCAGTTTCCAATCCGGTAAGAGAATCCTTCAGGGTGGGTAGAGGGTGGCCGGGGTCATGCCGTGAGGTCCGGAGGACAAACATTGGGATTTCTGTCAGTGGCTGTTTAAGTGAGTCAGCAGAGACCCTTTTTGTTTCTCAAAAAAACAGATTAAGCCTTTAAGTCTGAATGTTGAGAAAAAAAAAAAAAAAAAACCCTATGCAGTTATTCAGTGTGTCTTTACAGCATCGACTCACCAGCCTCTGGAGTCTCGTGCAAAACCAACAACCACCTCCAAAGAACAGGATGGCAAATGTACCCATTTGAACGCAACCAGAGATTGTGTTAGAGTAAGCGAAGCAGACATTTTCTCTGCTTTGTTCAGTGTATTTACCACAGTGACATTTGGGGAAAGATGACCACATTTACGATAATTAGAAAAATGAAGAAAAGGTTTCAGTGAGCTGAGCTAGGAAATCTAGACAGTTTTACAACGAGGGCCCCTACCTTTACCTGCAGACTTCACTAAAACGCCAGTCAGTGTCTTCTGTTGTGATCCGGTCAGGGGACTGAGGAATGAATGTTTTTTATATGAAATGCCCTGGCCTAGTTCTCAGCTGGGAGCGGAAGCTCCCCCGTTTTCCTTGAGTGAACCAGGAACCTTGGCTTTCATAGCATTCACAATAATTTTGGCTCTAATTAAAATTTAGCTATGATTTCATTAGTTAATCTGCGTAGAAGGCAATATTCTCAGATAAAGAGAATCTCACAAAATGTTTATACAGATTTGTCTCAAAATATATTTATTGAATTCCGCCTGTGTTCTTGGCACTGTGTGCAGGGTCTGGGTATATAGAGATGAAAAATGAGAATCTCGTTTGAATGTGCAAAATAGTATTAGTGTCTCTGGTACTGATATAAAGTTATGGACAATTTTGATTTTATCTGTGGCCCTTAAGAATAAATAACAATGTCAAAAAGTAATGTAGTTGGTATTTCCATCCATCGTTATAATAAAATTGGATGAACTTCCTGTGTGATCCAATATTGCAGAGTATAATCACCCAGGATAGCCCAGATAAATCATTTGACTCAAGAAATCAAGCTCCATTTCCTGTAAAATACGGGACTGCCAGATCTTTTTTTCTTTTGAGTGAATCTCTACTATGAAACAGGAGCAGATAATAAAGTCAAATCAGGGCCAAAATCTCAACGTAGCATTTGAGGTTCAGCAGCCAGATTTTAGAGAAAGAAAAAAGAAGGAAGTTTTCAATGATTTTTCTTTTAATGTCTATCATACACACATAGACACACATTTATATATAGGTTAAATGTATTATATATAATATTAAATAAATGTTAACACGTTTAATATGAAGAGGATTAGGTTTAGCAGCCAGATTTTAGGACAAAGAAGGGAGTTTTCAATGATTTTCTTTTAGTGTCTACCATATACACAGACACACAAAAATTTATGTATATATATTTAATATGCAGAGGGTTTATTATCTATTTAATACTTTTACTTACTAGATAGTAAAGCTCCAGACAAAGACTTTTTAATTTCCAATGCCAAAATACCTTACCCTACAGCTTCCACAATCTTCAACTTATTTTTTTAAATAATCACCATGAATCAGTCAGTTAATAATTAATGTTGACGTGTACAGTATAAGATTAACCATTTCTATATTTAGTTGTAATAAGGAAGAACATATTACATATAGCCTCTTTGTTCTTTTGATCAATGCATTTCCTTCTCTGGGACAATTTAATAATTAAGTCACAGATAGAGCAATCCTAAGAAACATCACAGCCTCAGTCCTACTAAGAGGGGAAAAAAAAAGAGTTCCACTGTAAGGATTAAGATGTACTAAGATGAAATTGGCACAGTCATGCTGCAGATAAAAGCTTTGCTGCAGACAACAACACTCAGAATCCTACTTTTCTAGAAATGAGATGTCTCTGCAAGTGCTAATCACAGAAATAACAGTGTGGGAAAATTACGTGATTATTATTATGTTACCATCTCCTTCTACAGATAAAAGAACCATGGGCGTACTAAAACTTAGCCCACACTCCATCTTTATTCACTTTAAGTTACGCAGAAAATTGTCAATGCCCACTGTGACAGAAAAATAATCAGGATTACCGAGGACGGTCAACCAAAGCATTTTTAGATGATTCGAAAGAAAAAAAAAAAAAAAAAAACACATGCCAATAGCCCACACTTCGTCTTTATCATGTTTCTTGGAGAATCGTGTAGCTCACCAGATGAAGGAAAGCAAAGCCCTCTGACCCTCACTGAAGTGAAACATGAACTCCTCTGTGGTGGGAATCGAGAGAAAAGAAATGTGTGACACCCATCCGTGCAGGGTTAGACTCCAAGCCACTCAGATGTGGTTTCACAGATTGTGTGTGGTCTCCTGCCCTTTTGTGGCTCAACTTTTATATGGGATCACTTGCAAGTCTGGAAATAATAAACCCCTGTTGCCTGAATACTGGAGCGTTAAAGAGAGAAAAGGAGAGATAGCCATCTGGCTCTTTTACTCATGTCAAAAATAAAAGCAGCAATGGTCAGTGTAAATTAATAATTTCTTCATTTTAATAAGAAGGTATCTATATATTTCCTGGCTTAAAACAGCCCCAGTTTCTGACTAGAAAGCAATTTTCTGGAATGTTTAAGGCTTATACCTCGCCTTCTCTCGTGTTGGAGGTCGAGATGGGAAGTCTCATTTGTCCTTTTTGAGATATGCTCTGTGAGTGAGGCAGGCAGAGCAGGGATAATCAGAGATTTTTATCTTTTCTTTGTTCAGTTGTTTGTTGTTTTTGTCTTTTTGTTATCGTCAGTGTTTTGGTGGTTGGTTGGTTGGTTGGTTGATTGGTTCGTTGGTTCCTTGGTTCCTTGGTTGCTTTGTTGGTTGGAACTTAGTCTCACTCTGTGGCTGTAGCTGGCCTGGAATTTGCTATGTAGATCAGGTTAGCCTTGAACTCACCGAGATTCTTCTTTGCTGGGATTAAAACCTTGTGCCACCACACCTGTCAAGTTTTATTATCTTGAAGAGGCTCATCCTAGAAACCTGAATGTGTCTGACCTTGTTTTCCCAACAAGATTTGTCTGCACACAGTTTGTCTGCCCAGAGCCCCGTTTCCACTCACACTTTGACTGCTATCCAGAGTGAGAAATGCGGAAGGAACAAGGGGAGTAGAAACAACCCGAGGGAGATTGAAAGAGGACACAAGGAATAACAATAGGTTAAAATAACAACACAGAAGAGGAAACATAATCAGGAGGATGAAAGCAGAAACTTCTGGTAACTGGAACGTACAATAATGAGGCTTGAAAAGCCTGTTGAAGCAAGTGACTTGCTCTTACGTTCACTGACTGTACGCAGGATAAATTTAAACACGGTTAAGTCGCAGCTTTTCTTCCATCTTGAGTTTTGTATTAAACCTCTATCTCTTGCGCCCTCACTCTTGCCGTGTGTGTGTGTGTGTGTGTGTGTGTGTGTGTGTGTGTGTGTGTGTAACTTTCTACAAGTTTAGATAAATACAAATATCACAAAGCACAAAGATGGACATATCATAAGAATATGCGGTATAAATTCTGTAATTAAACAAGCTCTTTCTCCTCCAGTGAATATGTACTCAAGAAGGTCAAGGTTCTCACCACTTTGTGATTTTTAAAAAATAATTTATTATGATGATAAAGACTACTATAATTATATACATTTAGATTTCAGGGAAATGTATACAAAAGGTCTAACCAGTAGATTGAAGAAATCTTTGGAGGCAAGAGAGAAGGCTTATCACAGGGCAATGAGTGAAAGAGGGCACTAATTAAGAGGTGAAATTGAAGCAGAGGAGAGAGAAAAATGAAATAAAGAGGAAACTAGGTTATACAGGGCTTTCCAGATGAATCAGCTAAGGGATTCTAACCTAAGTTGCTAAATTTGGATGCTTTTTTTATTGGCATTTAATTTGCCGTGGGAGAAAAAGAAGCAAGACGAATATAAATTTAAACCAACAACTCTAAAGACTCTGCCATACCCTACTGAACTGGCTGAAGTATGAAGAGAGGTGGAGAGGCCAGAGTCTGCAGACCTTCTTAAAGTCTGATATTCTGACTTATATAAAACAAAATGCAGAATTTTCTGGCAATGAAATCATTTGAGTATTGTGTTTTCCTCTTTTCTAATTGCCTGATGGACTTTCAGCTAAAACTCCTTGATAGATGTGAAAATCAATCAGAATAAAGTGGCCCAAGGCAATCAGGCCGCTTCCTGCCCTGATGTTATTAATTGTTCTGGTCAATAAGCTTTGGGCCTCCATTTGAGCAGTGAAGTCCCTGCTCCATTTCTCTTTGTTCTGAAAACCCAGAGAAGAATCTCACTGAAAGAATTGTTTTCAGTGTTAATATACAATAAACTCATATTGGTAAAAGCTAAGTCTACCGAGGTCTGTCATCTTCCAGTTCTAGCCATTTTTATTCCTAAATTTTTATGTGTTTCCCAGAGTTTTAAAAGTTATTCTCAGAAGAAATAATGCATGTATCACCCCCATTTGATACATAAACTCCTGGAGAGTATGGGTTCAATAGAAATTACCCATTCCAGTTTGACCTCAAATCTTTCTCATCATCCTGTGTTCATAATTATAATTTCTTGATGCAGAAAACTTATTTGGTATTTGCTTACCAACCTGCAGCTTCTAAACATGGAAGCATAATTATTTGTTAAATTATCCCGCCATTTCCAAAGCAGACAGGACAAAAGCTTCTAAATGTGTAAACACAGAAGTCAAGAGAATCCTGCCCCATGTCTTACATTCCTTTAACAAACAACGAATTTATGTCTGTCTGTCTTCCCACTCCCTACTGCTCATTACCTGCATCATAATTTGTGTTAACTAAATAGCAACGATTTGCTTTATTTTGTTATGTGTGTGTGTGTGTGTGTGTGTGTGT